ATGTTCCTGTTGCACAGAGAGCATAACTGATGCTTAAATGTATCAAGCCCATTATCTAAATATTTTCTGCTTTTTAGGGGATACCTCCATAAATTTGGCTGGGTTCTTTGGAATGGCTATAAATAATAAAGCAGTTGAACACAACAGCATGTCATTCCTTTGTAACTGGCTATTGTCTGCCTTGCCACGTAGATACGTGGCTCCAGTGAGCAAAGAAGAGCCCAAAGCGTTTTTCGTTTGTGGCTAAAAGATTTATCCCATCCAGATACAGGAAAGAAAGTGATAGTGGAAAATGGAGGGCACTTGTGGTTTCTCTCTTCTGACAGTGGAATTTACCAAATTACAGTGCTGTGGATTGTCATGGTTGCTAGTTGGGTTATCAGTTAGAGATCTTTGTGGTGGCATCTAGACAACACATACGGGAATCTTAGAAGTAGACCTGTAATTCCAAACGTTTCCATACTGTAAATTTTGATTGCAGATGAAGAGTCAATGAGATCGTACTTTTCATTGCACAAATGAACATAATGATTGCAATATTAGGTCTTTGTTGCAGAGGATATCAAAACGGAACAGACAGAGTGGGCTGGTCTGAACCTTTTGGGGTCCTTATTGACCAATCTGGGTTTTTTTATATATTTATATATATAAACTATATTGTGAACACTTCCAAGCCCAAATGTCTGTGGCTTCTCAAACCCTGGAGTGCTGTGGGGAGCAGCTCCATAGCCACTGGAAGGAAGAAGGACATACTCCTCTACAAAGATCAGCAAACTAAAATGACAGGATGAAAAAAAATTATTTCTATCTTCTGCCACTCTTCCTGTTAAAGAAATGATAAAAGAAGAGGATAATACTGCAGAAGCAGAGATTGGATTAGGAAAATGAAACGCTTCTCTCCTCAAAAGCCTTCCAATTGTGATGATTCCATTGCCTTGATAAAATCAGACCTAGCTGATTTTATCATATTTTCTCTTGTGCTTTTGTAGTGCTGATAATTTTGCATGAAAGGAAAGTAAATAGTTGTTTATACTTCATTTTACAGCAAGCCAGTATGTCACTAAGTCAGCATTTCTCCTCTGAGATTTATAGAGCGGGATTTAGTCTAAATTGCTGGCATATTAGATTTCAGCCAAAGGTTGTTTTCCTTTAACCATTTTGTTTTTCAAATGCCTTGGCTGATTTTAGGTTACTGGAGTCCAATATAATTACTTGTTTAATTGCTTGGAAGAAGTGGAGCTTCCGTAGTTCAAAAATGGCTCATTTTCTTTAAAAATAACTGAAATCTGGCTTGGGGTTTTCTAGAATGCAGTGCACTATACAATTGTGTAATTTTATCCTTTTAAAAATTCCCTGAATAGTCATTAAATCTTTGGAAACTAGCTAATCTCCAGGAGGATGCGATAGGCCTGGCTAATATCCAGGCTTTGCAAGAGGCTACGACAGCTTAACATGGTAAGAAAAGTGGTTTCTAAATCACTGGAAGACTGGATCAAGACTCCAGGCTGCAGAAATCCAGTTGGTCTTCTTAATGATTCCAGTCTTCCCCAGTGTTGGCTTTCAGGCGGTGACACAGTGTAAAGGAGAAGAGTGAAAACAGACACGCAGCCCAGGGAATTTGTGAATAAGAATGGATCAGTTGGATATTGGTCAGTACCATTCTCAGTTGTGCTGTACCAACTTGTGTTGTGTTGCAGCACAACAATAAAGGACAAGTTTTGTGAAAATTACATGTCCTCATGCAAAAAAAGAGAACCAGGCATTACTCTCAGAAGGACGCACAGATGAAGGCAGTGTAGCAACATGAGCCCTTAACACACAGAAGCAAAAAAGAATCAGCAGAAGGATGGCTGAGGGGGCAAGAGAAGCCCCGAGAGACCCATCCTCAGGAAGGCTTCTCTGAATATTGCACTTTAACCCAAACTGTAATTCACGGGGAACTGGGCATTAATTGCAGCACTCACAAAGCTGAGAGCTGAGCCTCTGACTGCAGCACATGTGGGGAAATTTCTGTTGCTTAACCCTACCACAAACCCCTGAAAAATGTTATTTTGGTTGGTTGGTTGATTGGTTAGTTCCTTGGCGGGAGGATATTGCATTAGTAAGCTTGATTAGCCATGCAAGCCAAGGCACCAGCCAAACACACTGAATTGATGGGTTTTGCAAAGGAAAGGTTTGCCTCTACTCTTCAGGGCTACAGTTAATTCTGGATAGAACTCGAACATGATATTAGTAGATTTGGTCTTTGGGTTTTCTGGTGAAAATAGAGATTACTTCTACTCCACCTGGTGTGGCAGCAACCTGCTTTCTAAGGACATGAAAATAAGTACGTATGAAAGTAAAAACATTGCTATGTTGGGAGGGAATTTGGTCACTTTTTGGAGACTGCTGCAAGACATTCAGTGGGTTACACTGCCTTTCCTCCTCTGGATATCTGAAAGATGGCAGTGCATTCCTGAACCTCTACAAACCATGGAAGTGTCTGTTTCACCTGAGTGCTAAATAGAGAGTCACAGGACTGAGGACAAGGTGCATCTTCTTTAACCCAGGCAGAGTCTTGTGGATGCAGCAGACAAGGATTTGGGAATGATGGGAGAAGAAAAGATTCAAAGAGGCTGCAGAACATCCCCTCTCTTACCTTTTCATATTGCTCTTTGTCTGGTAGGGCTTGTCTGGTAGCATCATGATTGTGCAGCTCCCTTACCTCACCTGTGCTCATACAGTTGCAGCTGAGTTGATCTCTGGGAAGAAAAACAGGTCATTGCCATTTGTAATAGAGGAGTTGGGCTGTCATCTCCAAGCTTGGAGTTGAGGATGCCATCCAATCCTGCTCACATCATCATTATTCCACAGACACTCCATATGACTCAGCAGGACTCCATCAGTGACTCAGATGAGCTCAAGAAAAGGTCCCAGGAGTGCTGATCTGGGTTTCAGTTTTGGAGAGTTTAATCCAATGGATCTTTAAATAGAGTATTTTATGTATTCAGAGGACAACTGTTTTGTACTTACATGGAGAGAAGGACATTAGTTGAGATTAGTTCTTCAGATATAAAAGAGAAATTTCATTTTTAATATATCTAGTAAATGTACGAAACAGCAGCAGACTGCAAAAGCCCTCTTTATAATTGGCTCATTTCAAGCTAGAAGCAGAAATCATACATGACTATGTCTGTTCTGTAGTTAACATTTAAAAGATAAAAAAGAGAGGCAAGGGAGAGGGAAGTAGACAATCATTCAGGTGGTTTTAGCTTCTTAAAGTTTGCTTCCAATGGATTAACAGTTTTACCTGTGTGTCAGTAGTAGCTCATGGGATTGGACATGAAGTCTGTATAGATATGAGGTCTGAAAAGAAAGATCTGCGTTGAGCCAGCCTTCTATAGTTGCCTAAACCTGTTTCATAGGTCCACAACATGAGTTTGGAAGGCTTGGATCTCACAGGGCAGCTCACCATCACTTTGCTGACTTGGTGAAAATGTAAGGTTCAGGGGGGTGTCTCCATAGGGAGAACAGATTTACAGATTTTATAGGAATAAGAGGGCTGTGTTCTTAAGTGTCAGGTAAAATACAGAAAATGAAGTATAATTTTTTAATAAATAAAAACAGTAGAATAGGAAGGAGGTATGACCTCCTGGGGGTTTTAATGGTGGTAAATTGGGCAATGCCAGAAAGAAACTAATTAGGAAATGCAGTTTTCAAAAAGGAAAAAAAAGCTCAGATGAGAGACAGAAAGAAACCAGTCAGAGCATCCCACATTACTACGCAGCGCAAGCATTGCCTCTTACTAACACAAAAATGCTATGTGATCTGAATGTTGTAACTGAGATTGCTTAGCCAGGTTTCAACGTGGAATTAACTACAAGTTGTCTAATGAAGGTTGTAGACAGACCAGTGGACTCTTTGAAGAGGTTTGACTGAGACATTCTTGGAGCTAGATTTGAGAAATCTCTTACAAATACTGACTTTGTGAGCTCTTGTTTGTGCTCGGGGTGTCTGCAAAGACTTGCTTCTCATATTCTGTTTCTTAATGAAGACCATGACTGTTTTTCAGTTATCTGTCGAGATAGATCAGTTAAAATCTATTTGAGGCCAGGCAACCATTCTGAATTGTTAGCTACTGATTTAGTTCTTATTTCAAGCTTTTTTATCTCCATTATTTATCTTGGCGATGATTATCATAGCTCTGAGGGTTGATTTGA